TTATGAACATTCAAATATCAAATAATAGATAAAAATTCAAGGAAAAACAAAACCCAATTTGAGGAAATCGAACTCCTTGATCTTCTATTGTTGATAGAACCTCCATCTTGATCTCCAATAATGCCCAATCAAGGGCTGCCACCAGCCTCTACCAATCTCACTTCTAATTCTAAATTTGGATGGATATTTATAAGGTTTTAGAAATCCTAATTAGAATAGAAGTAAGATTTGAAACATAATAGGAAACTTGAATGTTGGGCACTGAACATATGGTGTTGACACGCCAAATTACATGTCAACACAAAATAAGAAACAGAAAATTTGATTCTAGACGATTAATGCATGGTATCGACACCCCGATTATGTGTCGACACTACACTCATGTCAAGATTCTCGCCTCATTTTGCAATGTCTTCAATGGTAAAATGGCAAATTTGTCCTCCAGCTTTTGTACAGTGAGTACTTAGATCCCAAAACTCAAGATTCATTCATTAAGGTCCTAAAGAAGTGCCCTACTTCTTGCAATTTAGTCCCTCAACTTTCAAAAGATGTTCAATTAATCTCAAAAACTTTTCTTTTATGCATTCAAGTCTTTTTCTGCACAAATAATGAAAATCATGTAAAATCTCATAAAACTCAGTAAAATCTCATAAAACTCATCCAAATATCAATAATATCAAGGCAACAATTCCACATTAATATGTGTACAAATTTAACTCATCAATCAACATTTCCAAAGATTCAGCTTGCTATTTGCCTTTCTCTACTTTGTTAGCTTCTTGCTTCCAATTTGAACTTGCAACTAAATATTTCCCCTTGTGCTTAGCTTGAAATGCTCCTTCGACACTTTCATCAGATCTCATTGCCAATCTTTTTTCATGAGCTTGCAGTTTTTCAGTGAGTGCTTTAATGGAAAGCTTACTCAAGTCACAAGACTCTTCAATTACAACAACTTTAGGTTCAAATCTATCAGGAAGACTAACCAACATCTTGTCAACCACTCATGAATTAGGAAATCTCTCTCCTTGCATTCAAATTTGAGTGACCAAATCAACTAATTTTGAAGAATACTAACATATTGTATCAATTTCCTTCATCTTCAACATTTCAACCTCTCGTTTGAGAGCTAACAATGTCACACTCTTATCTCTAACACTCCCCTCGTACTCTTCTTTAAGTGCTTCTCAGACTTCTTGTGCATTCTGGCAGGACGTAATTTTGAAGAAAATATCATTTACCATTGCACTATGTAAAAAAGAAAGTGCTCTATATGTACCTGCCTTATACTCTGCGTTTCTCTTCATTTGTGCTACTGTTGGGTTTTCCTATGGAAAAGGAAGTTGGAAACCATGCTCTATGACTTCCTAGACATCATTCCCTTTGAGGAAGGCTTTCATTCTAATAGCCGAGAAATCATAATTCTCTCCATTGAACATTGGAGGAGAAGAAAATGAATTTGTTAAGGAAGAAGACATACTAAAATGCAGTAGAAGAAAAAGATTCTCTCCCTCACTTGTCGCTCATGTTTCACTCTCTCACACCTCTCTAAGATTTCTCATAGATCCCTCAAGTACTGTAAGCTCTGATACCAATTTGATGATGTAAAGATGAAAACTCAAGTGAAAATGAACATAAAATGAATATAAACTCAAGGATTAAACTTGAGAAATGATGAAATACATAAACACTACTGAAATACATAAAGAGTGTTTGATATATTGGCAGAAAACAACAACAAACATTCACACATATCAAAACTGTAAGCTCTGATACCAATTTGATGATGTAAAGATGAAAACTCAAGTGAAAATGAACATAAACTCAAGGATTAGACTTGAGAAATGATGAAATACATAAACATTGCTGAAATACATAAAGAGTGTTTGATATATTGGCAGAATACAATAGCAAACATATGCACATATTAGTTTCAAAGAAAAGAAACTTATACATAACAGTTGTTGAAATGAAAAGAAGTTACAAATTGCAAAAGAAACTGCTACACCACTAAGCAAAATAAACTAATTGTAACTGCCACATTAAGAGACTTGATCTCACACGCTAATAGTTCCTTATTGTTCAACATAACACTGCTGCATGAAACATGACTGCATCATTCATTGGGCTGAGTCCAATTAACCATTTTACAATCTAAAGGTATCAAGGTGAGATTTTCCATTAAGCTTGCTACCAAGCTTTACCCTCCTATATTCTTCATTGGTGATTCTCTTGAACAATGCTGGTTTCTCCTGAGAGGTCAAGCTTCTTGCTGGCCCTATTTCCCCATCATACTTTGAATTGTAAAACGTGTCAATAGTGAGCCTTTCCATTACAGAGTTAACTGTTACGCGATGCTCAACACTTCGATAAGCTCCATTTGTCACAATCTAAAAAAACACAAAAACATAACTTAATTAACAAATGCTACCTTGTAATAGTCATTAATTTTATTTGGAATGATGAGGAAACTAAAATTCCTCTTCATCAACTACTTGAAGCTTGGAAAGGACCGACCCCACAACCATTTTTCCTAATTATTACATCAATTTTAATTTAACTGAAAACAGAATATGCATTTTTTATATTTATTACCTCTAAACTGTCTCCGACGTTGACAATGAAGGCGTTTTGGTGAGGCTTAACCGGAACCCATTTGCCATCTTTCTTTACTTGGAGGCCATCTACTTCATTCACCTGAAGGAGAATGGTGAGAGCACTACCATCAGAATGAGGACTGAGACCAATGGCCTTGTCTGGTTGTGGGCATGGCGGGTAATAATTAATTCTTATAAACTGAAAACCCTCCTCAAAAATCTCCTCCATTTCGCTGGTTTCCATGTGAAGAGCTTTAGCCAACTTTCCTAAGAGAGCCATGGCTAGATTTTTCAATTCCAATGAGTAAAGTTCCAATGCTTCTCTACACGAAGAAGATACGAGTTAAAAACATAAGAGCAAAATAATTCACCCACAATGTTGTTTTATAACAAAGTCTCATGATCCTACATGACATATTTAACTATTAATTTTCTTCAGTTGACAGCCGCCTGTGTGAATTAGTGGACATCCACTTGTTTGATTACGAGTGATTATTATGTGTATTTCATTGTAACATAGTGTGTTTATATTAGTTATATATGGAAACTGTGTTTATATTAGTTATATATGAAACCAGAAACCAGCACAAAGATAATTTGAGAGAGGCAGAGGTAGAGAGGACCTGAACGGAGGTGGGAGCTTAGGGAGCAGATGGGGATTTCTCAAATGGGGTGGTTGGGTTACAATGAAGAAGAGATCACTCCAATCAAGCTCTTGCTCCTCTGAGCAAACAAAGGCCTGCCCAAATCCTTCCATTTCTCCTGGGCACTGCCAATATTTTTTCTTTTCTTCCATTGGAAGGTTAAACAAATCCTGAGCCCCTTTCTTTACATTCTCCAACATAGAAGAGCTTACTCCATGATTTACCAGCTGCAGTAATTTAATAAAATTGATAAATCACAATATTAAATAAAATAAATAAGCCAATGAAATGAAAAAAAAAAAGGAAAAATGATTTATTTACTTTTCAGTTCAACACAATTCACAACACATTTTGTAACAAAGTATTATTTTCAAATTTGAATTAAAAATGAAAAAACTTAAAAGTTGTAGATTTTAATTACTGAATTGGTGGGTATTAGTGGGTTTGTTAAATTGAAGGATGTATTATTCATTTTCTTTTGAAAAAACCAATTTAAAAATAAAATTTTGAAAGATATTTAAAGTAACAAATTCGAAAAAGTGTTTTGTAGTTTGAATTATAGAGTACTAGCTATTGAATTAAGAGACTCCATGATATTGAGGAGGAAGAATAACCTGCTGAATTTGGTGCTCAAATCTATGCTCGTGTTTCTCTTTTCTGTTTACCTTGCTTCAAAAAGTATTGTGAGGACTACTATTAAAATTTGGAGGGAGTTCCTTAGGGGTGGATGTGAGGAAAATAGGAAAGTCCATTGAGTCAGGTGGCGGATGGTTTGTAAAAGTGAAAAAGGGATTAGAGATGTTTCAGCCTTTCTTTGTTAGGTAAGTGACCGGAGAATTTGGCCAAGGGTGATGAGTGTTTATGGGGTAAGTTAATTAAGGAAAAAGTATGGGAATCATTGGATGTCATGGTTCAGGGAAGGTAGAGGGAATGGTTTAAATTGGTGGCGAGACATTTCTAGATTAGAGTGTGCTGGAAGAGAGCAAAAGAGGGTGGCTACTGGCTACCCAGTGGGTTCGAGCTGACGGTTGGAGAGCTTAGTTATTGGTGTGACGTGTGGTGCAGGGAAGGAATTCTAGCTAACATCTTTTCGAGGCTCTACCTTCTATCTGCAGTTAAGAATAACTCCATAAAACAAATGGACACATAGCAAGAAGGTAAATGGTACTGGAGCTTGACATGGAGGCGGGCTTTGCTGTCTTGGGAAATACAAGACAAGGAGAAGTTGGACGAGCTACTGGGAAAGCTGCAGATTCAATAAGGATCGACAGAAAGACACATGGCTCTGGAGACATAACAAAGATGGGTATTACTCTTCAAAATTTGGTTCCTCTTTGTTGTTGTCTTCTCAGAACGTCACTCGCAGGCAGGTTCTTGGTAGAGCATAGAACCAATACATAACCTTGAAGGTTTGTGGCCTTAATTGACAACTAATCTTGGACAAGATGCCTACTTAAACTAACTTGTTTGAAAGGGGAATAATCACGAATGCTGCGGAGCTCATTTGTTGTTTTTGCCATAGAACATGTAGCGGACAGTGGATATTTATTTTCACCGTCAAGGTAACCTCACAAGTCACAACTATGGGATAAATGTTGTGATTGGTGGAGAATACAGCTTGTGTTGGCTGGAAAACATTTGGGATGCTATTGTTCATCATGAGGGATTTTCAATTTCTAAAAAAGGGAGTATGGGTTGGGAAGCAATTTGGTTTGTGCTGGTTTGGACTGCGCATGGCTAACTAAGAATGACAAATTATTCAATAGGACGATATAATCATTGAGAATATGTTGATCTTGTCCAAGTTTGATCTTCCCAGTGATTGTCTAACAAAGGGATGGCTTTAAGGAAGGTCTTCTCAGATTGTATCTTAAATCCTCATCTATGTTGGTAACCAGTGGATAATTAGGAACTTCCCGTTTGAGGGTCTTGTTGCTGCTATATCCTAGTGTATTATTGCCATGGGTTGAGTACCCTTGTATTCATAAATAAAATTTTGCTTTAAAAAAAAAAAAGAAAAAAAGAAAGAATTAACGTATTGGCAGATGTTCCCCAGAAACTATCCACAACTAACACTTAGTTTTCTGCTTGGATCGTTTCAATAACTAATGATAAGAAATTTATTTACCTAAGACTGAGGTTCACGGGTGTTTGCTATAACATAAACCTTTATCATCTACAAATCAAAAAAATCTAGATCCGAATAAGAGTTCCTTTTCGTTTATAGATAGATCTAAAATTTTGATCTGAATAGAACTATGACAAAGGCGCAAAGGGGTCCTCTAGCAGTTGTTGTAAACCTGGCCCTTTTGTAGCTATGGCTTTCACAAAAGTAACATATCTATAAAAACGTACCTGGAAGAACCCCCATTCTCTACAGGCAAAGTCGAGTTTGGTTAATTCAGCTTCCATTGATTCTTCAGAAAGCAAGCTCTGCATATCAATGATTGGGATTTCCAGCACCAAACCGTCGTCGGAAACAATCGGTTGTTGTTGTAGGTCTGGACGGATGTATCTTGGTGGAATTGTTGTTAAGGGCTCTTTGGCCAGCTCTTGAACACAAGGCACGGGCAGGGAATTTACCCAGAATACTG